CCTCCTCCTGTCATGGCGCTCCTGGCCCACTGTGGGTTCTCTGCTTCCTGTCATGGTGCTCCTGGCCCACTGTGGTGTTCCTCCTCCTGTCATGGTGCTCCTGGCCCACTGTGGTGCTCCTCCTCCTGTCATGGCGCCCCTCTCCCTGGGTGTGCAGAGAACCCTTGCCTGCTTGTCCTGTGTCACTTGGTGGGGCCGGTGCTGCCACCTTACTTGAAGGAAGACTGGAGGGTGTTGGATAACGTGCACCATGGCTGCCAGATGTCTACAAGCCCAGACAAGGTAGGGCCAGACATGAAACTGTAGGACTTTAAAGTTACCTTGAATAGACCTGTAAACACGACATTGTGTAGCAAAAAAATTCATCAAATGTTTTTTTTTTGCTAATTATGCCAGTCTATTAATTTGACCACAATTTCATAGCGTTTAAAGGGGGGATAGGATTTTGGTTGAATTATTTCTAAATCACCCTATTAAGTAGACCCTTGCCTTTGATGTTGTAACTTATTTCCATTTACCTACTTATAAATGTTCTCATGTCTAGGAACTATATTTCATAACACTTTATCGAATTGCTGAATATACTAACAGCTGTAGGAAGATTAGAAAATCTTGAAGTTGAATCTTTTCAACTAGAAGTTCAAAAGGGCAGGCTGTTTTAATTCATGACGCAGAATAATGGGTATTATTAAGATGAAGTTTGAAAATTCGTCTGTTAAATTTGCACTTGTCTCTTTGGAGAACTTGAATCTTCCTAGAGGATGGACAGTTACTCAGCATTTGCTCTCCACCATGATGTCCTCAGCAAATGTACATACAACAAGGACAGATATATTTGGGTCACAGTGTTACCCCATAACCTGCACAAGAAATCCTCAGTTAAATTTCTTTCATGTCATGAAGCTTTCCTACTAGAATTTCCGATTTAATTTTATTATGATGATAATTTGAGGGCTGGAAAATGCCATTTGAGAAAGAAAACTAGGGGTTTTTTTTCTTGGTTTTTTTTTTTCTAACAGGAGAACTAGTTTCATTGTATTTTTCCTGACCATAAAAATATGTACGTTACAGTTTGCTGAATGTGAACTATTCACCAATAAAGCTCCATTAAAAAGTGTGTGTGTGTCCGTTCACGTTCTCATCTCTGTGCCCGACTGTGTGACAGGAGCAATTCAAGAGAGAGGCCTTTCTTCTGAACCACGGTTATAGGGAATGCGTGTGACTGACCGACCTCCTCATGCCTGGTCATGGGAGGTGGACACGAGGCAGCTTGTCACATCCAGGTTGGAAACAAGCAGAAAGCACAGGCTGGATGCAGCCGGGTTATAACCTTCAAGACCCACACACAACAGCCAGCTGAGCCCTGTGTCCACAAGCTGCTAGAACAGCTCTCCCTGCTGAGAACCTGATATTCAAACACAGGAGCCCGTGTGGGATGGTTCACAGTCCAAAGAGAAGAGTATCTGTGCACGTTTTGTTTTTCACAACGACAGGAGGAATGAAGTAGAAAAGTTCAGTTGTGGAGGTCAAGGAGAGAGGAAAGGGGCATTGCCTGTCCACAGCACTTGGTAATAAAGAATGGCTGTGCATTTTCACAATGCTAAAACAGCCAAAACCAAAGCCTAAGCAGAGCAATCTGAAGTGAGTGTTGACTTGAACAGTGACTTTCTTATTGGTCATGGATACTTTTTTTTTTTTTTTAACTGAAAAGAAACTGTAAAAGAGCCAGGTGTAGTGGTACATGCCTTTAATCCCAGCACTTGGGGAGACAGAGCAGGTGGATCTCTGTGAATTCAAGGCCAGCTTGGTCTATATAGTGAGTTTCAGGACAGCCAGAGCTACACAGAGGAAACCCTGTCTCAAAAGACAAAAACAAACAAACAAAACAACAACAACAAAAGAAAGAAACACTTCTGATTGAAACAGCTAATTTTATTTATTTTATTTTAAATAATTTTAGTTGAAATTGTCTCAGTTTAAATTATTTAATTTCTTTTTCTCAAAGGGCCTCATTTTGTAGTCATGAAAAGAACCATTTATTTTCATTTGAAGAGAAAGTATTCAGGCATTAGATTTCATTCTTTTAGGGGTCAGAGCAGACAATTCAATACATATGTTACTTAATATTTTTTCCCTTAGACCCCTGTCTCACAGTGCCTTTCTGAGGAAATGCTCCCAGACAAAATGGTTCTGCAGTGAGTGAATCACTCACC